ACCGTCTAATGTAGCTTTAAAAAATAACTTAGATTGTCACAACCTAATCCCCATACTCCCCGGAACGTGATATAAAATCATTGTTTTGTTCTGAGAAGAACTCTTATCCGATCCTAATCTCCTGAAGAATATTTTATTTTTATTTTTTTATTTTTATTTTTTATTTTTTTTATCTACCTCATTTAAAGGTAGCATGAAAGTTTACCTATATGTATGTCGATCCATACCGACTCTACCAACATTATTCACTACTCTACTACTGAACAAGATCATTCTCGTGTGATCTTTGATTTTCAAGATTCAATACCCTCTTTCTTGGGTGTTTTGAAACCTACTTCACTAGAATCCTCTTCGGACTCCTATTCCTCGGTTGTCTCCTTTCTGAAAACAACTGAAATCGTGTTGGTCCCTTTATGTGGTGACCTAAAACACCATCCGAAATCTTTCATTGGCTTATACTTCTAAAAGTAGCACCAACCGGAACTAAACTTTCGATCCCAAGTTCTGCTTCTGACAATGAACTTAATAAGGTACTCCTTTGGGTCTATATCGCTGTCGCCTTTACTCCTTTAGGTCTGTATCGCTGTCACCTTAGACCCCATCCTCCTCCTAGTGTCAACCATTTCTTAATTATGAAATATAATTGACATCAGCTGCTCCTCCTAACGAACCGTAAAAGAGTACAACGAATCCTAAAATGGCTCTAAGTTTTAAGAAACGCAACGCGGAAGTCATCTAACAAAAGACACTCCTAAGGACACTAGAACTTGGAGTGCTCTGTTACCAACTGTGATACCCCTAGAGCCATGGGTGATCAAGTCCGAGCACAGATCTGAGGGATACCAACTGTCAATATGTAAACAAGCAGGAATACAAACTGAAATACGAATAAAATAATAAAACGCTGAAAAAAATCTAAAATAAAAATCCTCAAACCTTAAATAATAAATTAATATAATTAAAATTCGTACAACTCGGGAATCCACCTAGTGGACCCCTAATCCCAAATCTTTAAATACATTTACAGAATTAAAATCCAAAACCAAAATAGAAAGGAAGTCTTATGTAAGCGGAAGAGTGAGTGTCTGTATCTGCATCAATATGATCAAGCTCAAAGCCTGGTGAAAAATAGGAATGGGTCAGGCCCACATGCAAGTTCTAATCTACTACAATCCGTACATAAACTAGATACGCAGATACATCCTAGATAGCTCGGCAATACCTAAACATAGTCCATATATATATATATATATACGCACACACTATAGAATATTCACTAACATATAGTCATCACACATGAGTAGAAGGTAACACGTAAAACGCCGTAGCGTCGTCATGCACACCCAGACCTACCAGGGAAAGTTATTAGGTCCAGTTATCCCTCTATGTGATATACGCACCCTAACCGTGATCAGGAGACTCAAGCTCGTACCACGGTACCATAAGTATATATATAAATTCCTTCCTAATACAGAGAAGTAAAGCAAGCATCCGTTATGTCGTTCAACTGCCTTAGTTGATAGGACGTGCATCCATGTAGGATTTAACTGTTTTAGTTAATCCATTTCTTATGTATGAATGGGTAGGGATTAGTGTTTTGATCTAATCCGTCCTTCCGTATGCCACTGTCCCATACCGGTGCATATCATGCAAATGATCCGTAAATGATGCAACATTTTAAGCAGTTCATCAAATCAAATCTACGTAATCCAAATAGTTAATATACAGAATTTAAACAGTTCATCAACTAACAATCCAGAATCCATCCACGTAACTAACGAGACAAGGTTTAATAGTTCACCAAGTTAAAATCCAGCATCCATCTATGTAATTGACAGAAAATATATATAGTTATTTCTTCAATTAATTCCAGGCCAACACCCAATTAAATTAACAGAACCTATATATTAGTTCAGCAATTTAAGTCCAAACTATAATTCCGATGATCTTAATAATTCAAGTTAATATATTCATCTAGTTATTTATATTCATCTAATTATGTATTGCTCCTCACATTCAAGTTAATATATATATATACACACACACACAAACACACACAAATATATCCAAATTGCCACATTTTATTTTTTATTTTTTATCCTGGCAAAAAAAAACAGTCATGCCATACGACATCTACAAACACAGTCATAAACACCGTACAAAGATAAACAAATCAAGAAGCAATACAATAAAAACTGAAAAACAGGCCTCCGATTTGTTTAGAAACAAGCCAAAAAATACCAGCGGATCACTCAGGGAGAAGAGCAGTAACGGGAGTGACGCAAAGGTTAAGCTATCATCAACATCAAGGCAACAGCTCCAAGGTTGCATCCACATGACATCGCCAACTGGGGAAAAACCACCCAAATTCTACACAAAAAGGCGAGGACACCAAAACCCGACATAGATCAGGGATCTAGCTGGTTACAGAACACCAGATCCATCCTGTCAAGCCAAAAACAAGCCAAATTAGGAGTAGATCTAATAAAACAATAGCAAAACGACGTGAAACCATCCACCGAGCAAAACTATGTGCATCATGCATCGTTTATTTATTGATGAGAGGCAAGGATCGGCGCTTCCCCACTCCCTCCCATGGGAAGGGAGTGGGGAGCATAAGAGAGAAGATGAAAGGGAGTCGGCTGAGGGTTAAGTATGGGTGTGTGTCATTATAAGCTCAAATTGACATAATAGAAAAGGGATATGCCTATCTACTCAGTACTCAATGATTAAATGATGCAAGTTTAACAAACTTGCCCACATCCTTAACAAACTCTACAAAAGCAACAGCCTCTCTCCCTGCCCTGACGTAGACTTCATACTTTAAAAACGATGGAATGAACAACCAGATGCTGGTAACCACCACGAACACAAGTACCAGCGGCCCTGACACGATCGGTGGCAATCGGAATTTGTCATTAACCGCCTTCTTGATCACAATTTCCACGGCCAAACACATCCCGTGAAGGAGAAAGAAGCACGTGACCTCCCATGTGGGCTTCACTCTTCCAAAGTTATAGAAAATCAATTCATGCATCATACCAGACACAAAAAATGTTGAGAGTACTGCTGGAAGCGGGCTCCACTTTCTCCCTATCAAGCGGGTAGATATAGATCGGACGGGATCGTATACAGTCGGGCGTAGGATACCAGTAACCATGAGGTTCCACCTTCTGCCCCAAAAGTCTTGCAACGAGCTAGATAGGTAAGGATCATCAAACTGTGGCTCGAGCTCCAACCGGGCTAGGGCTCGAACCAGGGCCCCAACCATGGCTAACGTCAGGTCAAGGGATAAGTATATGTGAAAGCAATATAGCAACATTATAAATTTTGGATGGTAATACTGTTTATAGCTATAGGAACGCAAAAGAGTAGAGAAAAGCATAATCTTTATGGCATAATTTAGAGGTGATTTGTGGCTTTTTTGGGTGGTTTGGTGAGATGGGTGGTTTTGAATCTTGATGGGTAGACAAGCTATGGTGATGAAATGCGACAAAGGTATTGGTGGGTTAGAGGATAAAGGGCCCTTACCAAAGGCAAAGAGGAGGAGCTTGAAGTTGGCAAGCCATGATATGAAGAAAGTGGTTGTGCTTCCAAGATTTACTGAGGAGAGATTGAGAGGAAGATACAGAAAGAGACATACTACTGGGAAAATGGCAACAAGTCTAAGAGGACCATTGGGGATGAACTTACTTATGGCATGACAGTAGCAAATAGATGCCAAGACTGTGATCAATAACACTATGAAATTGTTGATTTCACCTTCCATTATATATATATATATATATATATCTCCCTCTCTTGAGATTGAACTGTGAAGATCGAACTAGAAATATAAGGATGTGCTAGGTATAATATATAGCATCTGAAGTGAAATAGGAAGACAGCATATATAGAGTAACATTGAGATGTAGAGAGATGCTTGGTCAAACTCTTGTACAATAACAAAATCATTTATTTATTAGTGATAATTGTTATGCGGTGCAATCATTTATTTATTAATGGTATTATTTTGATTGATTCTTAAGACGTAACTTAGATATGTAATCTAACTTAATAAAGTGTTGACTTTGCATTATTATATGGAGATGAATGGAGGGGGTAGCCAGCTAATGTAGAGTTTAATACTAACATTTTTCTATGGAAATAAAAAAAAAATTAAAAAAAGGACTGGGGGACAATTTGGAATTTGATTTTGAGGCCTGTCTAGAAATTTGGTTGGACCAATAACCTAGCCTCTCGGAAGCTTTGACTATACTCCATATGCGTATGGCTCTGCTGAATTATTTAAATCATTGGAAAATATAAATAAATACAAAATAAGAATTAATACATGTTAAACTCACAATTTTACTAAATCATACTACGTATTAAACTATTTGAATAGATGTTCATAATTGAGTACCAATGGATCTATAGAATTTTCAAAAATTATGTCACTTTAAGTTCTCAATAAATTCATTTGTATACAGAAATGATCAATTATGGGCCAGTTGACCTTACCATGTACAAAATGCAAGACCAATAAAAGCTGGTGTAGACCAAATCCAAGCTTAACCTTGGATTGGACCTGCCATATAAACCAAGCACAGTCCCAGATACAAATAAACAACATTGACTGCAAATATAATTACAGTGAAATGGGCTTTAGTGAAAGCTATTAAACTTAAGTAGTTTTTTTTTTTTTTTTGGGGGGCGTGAAGGTTCGAAATCGAGCTTCCTATGACAGCAGAGATTAATTCAACCACTAAACTACAAAAACATTGGCAAAATAGGTCAGAGGAGACATTCATAAAATAAATTCAGTGGATCAACATCCAATTCATTTGGTCGCAAAATGACATCAGATCATAGAAGTTTGTTGACTTCCTTGACTTGCTTTTCTTGTATATGGAGGAGTCTATTCATTGCACCAGAAAATGCAAATAATTATGTATGCTTCTAACATTAAAGTTATTATATCTGTTCAAATTGTCACTTATTTGGTGAGGTCAGAAAAAGACAAAATTAAATATGCGCGTTTCATTAGAAGCTGAAATTCATATACTAAGTAACAAGGATACGCCTATCTACTAATTGCTTTAAATGACGTAAATTTAACAAATTTGTCCAAATTCTTAACAAACTCTACAAAAGCAGCCGTCTCTCTTCGTGTCCTGACGTCGAAATCACATCGTAAAGCTGGGAAAATGAACAACCAGATGCTTGTAACTAACACGAACATAAGCACCAACGGACCTGACACGATCGGCGATAATCGGAATTTGCCATTAATCGCCTTCTTGATCACAATTTCCATGGCCAAACACACCCCATGAATGAGAAAGAAGCAAGTGACTTCCCATGTGGGCTTCACTCTTCCAACGTTATAGAAAATCAGTTCATGCATCATAGCAGATACAAAAAATGTCGCAAGTACTGCTGGAAGTGAGCCCCACTTCTTCCCTATCAGACGAGTAGATATGGATCGAACCGGATCGTATACTGTCGGGCGTAAGATACCAGTAACCATGAGATTCCACCTCTTGCCCCAAAAGTCTTGCAACGAGCTAGATAGGTAAGGCTCGTCAAATTGTGGCTCGAGCTCTAACCGTCCTAAGGCTCGAACCAGGGCCCCAACCGTTGCTAACATCAGCTCAAGGCATAAGTATATGTGAAAGCAATATAATATCATTATAAATTTTGGATGTACATATTCTCTATAACCATAGACACCCATAATTGCAGACAAGAGTATAACCTTTATGGCATAATTTAGAGGCGATTTGTGACTTTTTTGAATGGTTTGGTGGTTTTGAATCTTGATGGGTAGACAAGCTATGGTGATGAAAAGTGACAAAGGTATCGGTGGGTGAGAGGATAAAGGACCCTTGCCAAAAGAAAAGAGGAGGAGCTTGAAGTTGGCAAGCCATGAGATGAAGAAAGAGGTTGAGCTTCCAAAATGGATTGAGTGGAGAGTGAATGGAAGATAGAAAAAGAGACATACAATTGGGAGGATGGCAAGAAGTCTAGGAGGACCTTTGGTGATAAACTTGCCTATGGCATAGCAATAGCATATTGATGCCAAGACTGTGATACATACCACTATGAGATTGTTGATTTCACCTTCCATTGTTGCTCTCTTGAGATTGTGGAAGTGATGAACTATAGAGAGATAAAGATGTGATCGTAAGTTATATATAAGGACAACATAGAGTAACATAGAGATGTTTGGTAAAGTGTCAATCTTACATAATAACAGATTCATTTATTAGTGATATCAACATGTGTAAGCTCGTTTGGCATGTACTTTGTTTTAAGCGTTTTGTTTTTGGCTAAAATAAAAATAGTATTTTTGTTGCGTGTTTTGAAAAAAAAAATAGAAGCATGGCTAGGAACGACATTTTGTTAAAACAGAAACAGTGTTTTTGTCTACTAGTATAGTTTTGAGCCATGAACAGTTGTCAAAATAAGAAAGAATAACTTTTTGGTATTTTGGTTTTGTGCCATTAATTGCAAAGTATTTTAACACTGTGTAAAATAAAAACAAGGTCGCACTAAACATATTTTTGTTGTCAAAATCGACACTGTAGCAGCCCAAAAAACAAAAACAGCAGAAACAAAACTTTTACCAAATTGATTCTTAATTGTCAATAACCAAAATCTTGATTGATTCTAAAAGTGTAACTTAATAGCATGTTTAAATCGGGTTTGGTGTTAACTTAGTCCTAGGATATGTATCGTTTGAAGCCTTCTACATGAGTTTGAAATTCATCCTATCAATTCCCTCCTCCTCTAACATTTAACTCGATCTCTAATTTTACTAATTTTTTTGAGAATAATAATAATAATAATGTGTTTAAATCACATTGTAAATTTTTTTTTTATGTGATGGGCAATGCATGCATATATAGAGATTAAAGAACGGGGTAGTTAACGAACTTGGAGGTTGCTAAGAGGTCTGGTTTGATTTTGTCAAAATTGGGTCCCAGACAAAGTCGTTGCCATGCCAGTCGTTTGAAGATCAACTCGGTTGGGGGATTACTTAGAAAATGTGCAATTGTATATCTTCACTTTTCTAGAAAAAGGATTGACCGAAGGACCATTTGCAATTTGATTTTGAAGCATGACCTATGCTTTTGGGTCGGTCATTAACGTGTCCTCTAGGGTGCTTTGACTATTCTCTTTTATTCCTAACCTATATTCCTGGGAAGTAGAGATATTTTTATGGAACTTTCTTGTCTTCGTCTAACATCGGGTTGGACACTGATATTTTAGGAACACTCTTAGATATGCTTTATTGTTGTATTTATTATTTAAAAATAAATTTTATTATTTTTAATACATGATCACACATTTCAAACACTTAATTAACACATTTTGAATACTCAATCAACATATCTTATACTCTTTGTCTTATATAAAACAAACAGAAAAACAATTCTGAAAATAACATCATAAACGTATATTAAAATGTTCAACTAATAAAGAAATAAAAACATAACTATAATAACAAAATAGGATAATAATTTCACATAGAGTATAACACATATATATATTTTTTATTCTAACATAGTTATCTTCTAAGTTATGTAACTTTAAAGTAATAGAATTTATAAATTAATTAAAGTTATACGATTATCTCAATCAATAAAAATATAAATGAAAAATTATATTTATATTAGCTATGTTCACGCTATGTCCGTGTCTTATTTTCAAAATTTGACATATCAACGTATCGTATCATATCATGTCCGTATCTGTATTTCTTAGTTGATAGAGTTGGGATCAGTGGGGGCAACTGCCCCACCAAAACTTTCATTTAATTATATTTGTATGTACTTTTGTTGATAATTATAGTTTTGTCCCCACAAAATTCTATACAAATTCACAAAAGTTCTTACAACAATCAACAATTCAAAAAAACCCCTCCTTTTTAATTCACTAGCCCAACAAGTTTTTTAATATTTAAAAAAGACCCATGTCATTAGTGGAGCCATGTTATTTTTTTTACAACCATTTTAATAATTATAGTTGTGTCTCCCCTAAACTCTATACAAATTCACAATTGTCCTTTAAAAAAAATTCTAAAATTCAAAAGACCCCTCCTTTTCTATGTCACTGGCGCAACAAGTTTTTCAAAATACTTGACTTTCAAAAAAAATATACATATGTTTTTCAAAATACAAAAAAGACCCACGTGTTTTAAAATTTAGAAAAGGCTCCTACTTTGCAATTTATTATATTAATTGAATTTCTTTTATTATATTATTATTAATGGTTGCCCTTCTTAGGTAAATTTCTAACTCCATCATTGGACTTACTTGACTTGCTTTTCTTATATCTGCAATCTATTCATTTTACGAGAATAAACAAATGATTATGCATTGTTCTTCAAATTGAGAAAGTATATAATACCTAAGGATTTTTATACAATATTCAATATCATTAAATGAATTCAGAAATTACCACTTATTTAGTGACGTCGGAAATAGTACAAATTAAAAATAGACATTTCATTATAAGATGAAATTGTTGGCGAAAATTAAAAAAAATAACATGGTGACGTAGAGATGTTTGGTCAAAGTGTCAAATCTTATACAATAACATATTCATTTACTAGTGATACCATAATGTGTGAAGCTTAATTGTCAATAAGCGAAATGTTGATTGATTTGTAACTTAATAATGTGTTAAATCACATTATACATTATTTCATGTTTAAGGTTTTATTTTGTCAAAATTGGGTCCCAAACAAAGTCGTTGCCAGTCTTTTGTATACTCCGTAGTATCATTTTTCTAGAAAAAAGAATTGACTGAATTAAGGACCATTTGGAATTTGATTTTGAAGCATGACCTTGACTTTTGAGTCGGTCATTAACGTGCCATCTCGGGGGCTTCGACTCTTCTCTTCTATTCTTAATTTCTTCATCGTTAACAATTCAGCATAGACATTTTTATGAAATTTTCGTGAACAATTCAGCATAGACATTTTTATGAAATTTTCGTGAACAACATTAAACAGCGTTATGTAAATGATGTAACATTAAAGTAATAGAATTTATAAATTAATTAAAGTTATATGATTGTCTCAGTTGATAAATATATAACTAAAAATTATATTTATATTAATTGTGTTCAGGTTATGATCGTGTCCTACTTTTAAAATTTGACATGTTGATATATTAGAGTCGTATTATGTCCATATTGGTCTTTCTCATAGACGACAGAATGTGTTGGCTTTAACTCGCAAACCACAAGTTGGGATTAGTTGGGGCAACTGCCCCACTAGAATTTTCATTTAATTTATATTTGTATATAATTTTGTTAATAATTATAGTTTAGTCCGCACTAAATTCTATACAAATTCATGAAAGTTCTTACAACAATCAAAAATTCAAAAAGACCCCCTCCTTTTTAATTCACTAGCCCAACAAGTTTTTTAAACTTCAAAAAAGACCCATGTCACTAGTGGAGCCATATTATTTTTATACAAATATTATTTTTATACAAATATTTGAATAATTATAGTTTTGTCCCCTCTAAACTCTTTACAAATTCACAATTGTCCTTTAAAAAAAATTCTATACAAATTCATGAAAGTTCTTACAACAATCAAAAATTCAAAAAGACCCCCTCCTTTTTAATTCACTAGCCCAACAAGTATTTTAAACTTCAAAAAAGACCCATGTCACTAGTGGAGCCATTTTATTTTTTATACAAATATTTTAATAATTATAGCTTTGTCTCCTCTAAACTCTTTACAAATTCACAATTGTCCTTTAAAAAAAATTCTAAAATTCAGAAGACCCTCCTTTTCTCTGTCACTCGCGCAACAAGTTTTTCAAAATACTTGCCTTTAAAAAAAAAGCTTTCCAAAATACAAAAAAGACCCATGTATTTTAAAATTTAGAAAATGTCCCTACTTTGCAATTTATTATATTAATTGAAAATTTCTTATTATGTTATAATTAATGGTTGCCCCATTGAAGTAAATCTCAAACTCCATCATTAGACTTGCTTGACTTGCTTTTCTTATATCCGCATCTATTCAGTGCACGAGAATATGCATTGCTCCTAACATTAAAGTTTATGTTAAAATTGAGAAAGTCTATAATATCTAGGGATTTTTATACAATATATAATATGGGTACACAAAAGAACCGCAGGAATTGGAACCGGAATCGTGAGAACCGGAACCGAAGTTAGTTCCGGTTCTCACGGTTCCGGTTCCTAAAATGAGGAACCATTGAGATTCAGTTTGGTTCCAATCTCACGGTTCAGTTTCGGAACCGAACCGAACCCAACCTTAATATATATATTTGATTATATTATTAATATTAGTAACCAACAGGTCAGTGGCCTAGTGGTATCAAACTCTTACTTCTCAAAGAGAGGTCAGAGGTTCGAGCCTCCATAAAGGTATGTGTGTGTGAGTACCAACTAGGAAAAAAATATATATATATATTAGTAACTCTAATTTCTAAAGCTTTAAAACAAAATATTTTTAGGGCAAATCATTTCAGCCCCCCAACTCCAATCGTCTCCATCTCTATTCTCGTTCTCAACTCTGAACTTGCCCTCTCTCTCTCTATCCGTGTATCTCTGCAACTGCAAACTACAAAATCTACAAGAATCAGAAGTTCAAAACCCATATATTTCATATCAGCATATCATTTCAAGATTGTTCAAAAAATCAAAACCCACATCTTTTAGTTTCCATCGCCCACTATTCCAATTCGGGTTCGCCATTCGCAAGCTTCAGCCATTGTCTCTCAACTCTCAAGCTTGCCCCCTTCTCTCTGTGCAATTGCTAACTTGTATGTATGAGTTTTGTTTTAATTTTTGTTTCTAAATCAACTAATCAAGGTTTGTAATTCTTGATTTTGTGCATGCATATATATATATATATATATATCAAAGTCTGTAATTCTTGTTTTGTAATCAAAAGTTCAAAACCCATATATTTCTTTTCCTTTTTTTTTTTTTTTTTTGGTTGCGAATGACCTTTCATTTAAAAATGATTGTGTATTATCTGTAATTCTTGATTTTGTGTATTCTTGTTTTTTTTTTTTTTTTTTTTTTTTGGAAAGGAAAAAGGGTGGCCAGAGATTGGCAAGCTCATAAGGAAATTGATTCCGACAGTCAACAATTGGAACTAAACCGAATATTTAGTTATTTATTTTTTAAGTTCGATTCGGTCCGATTCCAGATCCCAATGGTTTG